CAAATGGCAACATAATTTGGCTTCGATGCGCAGTTGGTCTTGAAAAAAGGAGATTACCTTTCTGATAAGTGACTTTCTTCCGCCAATGTCTTCCTCAGCAAACGCCATACCCGTGGTCAACTTCCAAGATGGCTTCCTGAGGTTGAATGCGTAAGAGTTTGGCGTTGGCGAAGTATCCATCAAGCGTCATGTGATTATACAAATAATGAGAACTTACTCTCGACCTAGAGGCTAGTCAAAGTTACAAGTAAGCCTGAAAGTTGCTGTACTGCTTGCTTCTTAGAAAAAATATTGCTGTATTTCATACACGCATAACGACGCAATAGGTATGAGATTTTTCTTTATTCAAGGTAAGGTATAAATCGGAACTTTGACTGAAATGGAACAAAAAGCAGATTTAAAAAGAGTACACGCCAAAATCTAGCGCACTGGAAAAGCCCTCAACGGCAGTGTCTCACCAAAGTCAGTTTTTGGAGATTTTTGCGTATCACAAGGCTTTTTTGCTGCTTTGAAATAGCATGAAATGCTCGAAAACCCCGTTTTTGGAAACTCCGAGGAGACGCTAACGAGTTGTGCCTTCTCACTCCAGCCTCCTCCGCAGTGGAAGCAACGCCAGGGAGGTGGACGTCAGGTGGACGTGTTGAAATGCATAAGGCCTAAGGCATGCCTCAAAGGCAGCGTCCGGGCTAGAGCTAAGCAGGAGGTCAGGCACAAGTCTTTCGAACCCCCCCCCCCCCCTCTGAAAGCCCTAAATAACCCCCTTCTTCCTCCTTTTCACTCCCGAGACCTTAGAGAGCGACATTGTGGAGGACACTATCCTCTTCTAAAGAGTTTTTGGATTTTCGAAGTCTGTAGCCGATTTTCTGTCATTGAACTTTACAATCACACGTAATTTGACGGTTTTTGATCTAAATGGGTCTATTGCAAGCATAATTTCTTTAAGGCTGGGGTGTTTGGCTCCAAATTTTCATTGCAGGAAGAAGGAGCTATAAGCTCATTATTCATACCAGGAAAGGAGCGATTTCTGGATATTGAAGACATGTTAAGGGGGTCAGGCGCAAGGCTACAAAACGGGATGGCTCAGACGGCTTGAGCTTTTGAGGGGTTGCGCCTGACCCGCTTAACTTGATGACCGAAGGATCTTTTCCACTCTGTTTACATGTGATTCGCTAACACAAGCACCGAAGATTCTACATTAGTTGTTTGAGCTTACTTTGACTTGTTCCGGCTTTGTGGTGGTCGGTGGAGTTGAAGCACTAAAGCTGGAAAACGCGGTGATTGAATTTTTGGCAGCACTTCTTGATCCAGCTTTTGAAAGCGACAGGAGGTCTAATTTCTACCACAGACTGATAAAGAGTATTACTTTGTTTTGAGCACAAGAAAGTAGACTTGTTTTACTTTCTTGACCAAGTTAATCATTTCTGATCACGCTTCCTAGACGTTAGGAAACACTAGAAAATGTGATATCTTACCCAATTTACACAGCAAGTCTCTTTGGCGACCTTACCGTTGGCAGAAACTTCGTTAGTGGAGTTAACCAATATGCGATTAACGACAGTCACCTCTCCGGTGGAATATATTTACTGATCTAGTGCTCTTCTTCTTCGGCTCACTCAATCGCATCTCCTCCACTTTGTAAACAGATTCCTCTTAATTGCGGCCCCCTCCCCTCAGTCTTACCCTCTCTCTCCCCCCCCCCCCCACAATACGATACCCGCCAGGTTGGGAGCGCCTGACCCCAAGCTCAATCCTGGTACGGGCAAATCTTTACTTCTACTTTTTTGCCTTATCCAGGCCTTTTCATGACTCTGATTCTAAATATTGCACTCAATGCGTAAATTCCTCAACCCCCTCCCCCTCCCCTCTCCCCTCCCCAATTTGAGACAATTTTGTGACCGTGGACGAATGCTTCTAATGCTATCCTTGTTGAGCAAGCATTAACAGGTAGACACTATGACTGTGTTTGCCATGTGGAAAAACGTCAAGGACTAAGAAGAGTTTGTTTGAGGAGGCGGGCCGTGCGAGTGGGCGGGGGCTTCAGGCTTGGCGTTTTCTGCGCCGACTTTTTCCTTTTACAGGGGATGTTTAAAAGTCAGATTTGATAGTTCTAGATCGAGACCCTAGTACTCGGTTATGATATCCGAGAACGTCCAAATCTGCCCAGACGCTGCCTGTAAGAGCTTCCCGCTATTGCGCGATAGGGGCACTGGAACGACTCTTCATAATTGGTCGTGGGCGCGCTTCGCTTGGCTCAAACTCAACGAGTTGACGAGACAACTGACGGAAGTTACCCGTCTATGCATTTGAGACCCACACACAATGCAGAAATCTGACGAATCGCAAAGTCACGTGGATGTAGTTATTTAACGAAAGCCTTATAAGAAATATATTCTCTGAAGAGCATCAAACGCTGATTTCAAAACTGTTTTTGTTATCTGCCAAGCGCTCCAGACGCTGAGTTCAGCGTTTTTTCCTCAGAAAATTGAACGCGTAAGTGGTGCAAATTCTACCAAGAGGCGCTTATGGCTCCGTTAGCAGTTATACAATACCGCTCACAGAAAGTGCAAAATTTCCGTGAATGTCGCAGAATTCCGGGAATTCCGCGAAGGTTCGCGAAATTCCGAGAATTTCGCGACATTCCCGGAATTTCGCGAAATTCATGTAAATCACGCAAATTACGCAGGGCCATAACTTCTTTCCGAATAAGTATATTCAAAATCCGAAAGCAGCATTGTATTCAGCTCGTCAAGGCGAATCTTTTGCTATACAGGGTGTCTCCAATATCCTGTTTCAATAATCTTGAATTTGCATGCGGACTCCTCTTCGCTTGGGTGTAACGCAACGAGCATCACACATAGGAGATTGCCATGGGCACCGTTCGTTAGTACTCTTCTAGCAGATTATTCTGCGCTAAACAGCAGCCGAAGACTCTCTTTTAAAGGAGATAGAAGAGCTGATAAACTCTGGAGAAATTAAGCTGTTCCAAGTTCTACCAGCCGTAACTTCCTTCAAAACGAACACTTTCGAAATCCGAAAGCAGCATTGTGTTCAGCTCGTCAAGGCAAATCTTCCAGTGTACAGCATGCCTTTGAAATTCCGTTTCCATTTTCAAAATTTTTTGCGCGCGTATATTCAAGATCGCAACGCAGCTCACATCCAACATAAAAAACTCCAATAAGCACTATTGGATTGTGCTGCTTCCGCAGATTACCGAGTCTAAAAAAGAGCCGGGGAATCTTTTTTAGAAAAGATAGAAGAGCTGGTGAATTCTGGAAAAATCGTGTTGTCTCAAATTTTGCCCACTGTATCCCTAAAATGGGAAGCTCTCCTGCTAAGCAGATGTGAATTTCATAAACATCAGGTCAGATAACCTCTTTGAGCGAAGTTTCCTTCTAATCCAAGATCATCGACATTTTGACCAAAACCCATTGGCGAGCTTCAGGGCGTAGAAAAAATCAAATCACCCGAATTTCTTTGAAAACTTGCTCATAGAGGTTATCTGACCTGCTGATTACGAAAATCACATCTGCTTAGCAGGAGAGCTTCCCATATAGGGTTACAGTGGGCAAAATTTGAGACAGCACGATTTTTCCACAATTCACCAGCTCTTCTATCTTTTCTGAAAAAGATCCCCCGGCTCTTTTTTAGCACTCGGTAATCTGCGAAAGCAGCACAATCCAATAGTGCTTATTGGAGTTTTTTATGTTGGATGTGAGCTGCTTTGCGATCTTGAATATACGCGCGCAGAAAATTTTGAAAAAATTGGAAACGGAATTTCAAGGACATGCTGTATATGGAAAGATTCGCCTTGACAAGCTGAATACAATGCTGCTTTCGGATTTTGAATATACTCATTCGGAAAGAAGTTATGGCCCTGCGTAATTTGCGTGATTCACATGAATTTCGCGAAATTCCGGGAATGTCGCGGAATTCTCGGAATTTCGCGAACCTTCGCGTTTTCCCGGAATTCTGCGACATTCACGGAAATTTTGCACATTCTATGAGCGGTATTGTACTTTATGCATGAATAATTCTTGTTTCTTATACTCGTACTCAATACTTCTTTATTTGAGCGTTGGAAAGACCATAACCATTAATTTTATCTCGACTTTGCTACCACTTTTGCTCCAAAAAACTCCCATAACTTAGCGTCCAAAGCTTGGCAAAAAAAAAGACAGTTTTGGGATCAGCGTTTGATGCTCTTCAGATTAGTTACATCTCATTGAGAAAGCCGATTTTGATTTTGGGTCCTCCCTAGTGAGTTAATCGAGATTGCTAGAGATCATATGAATGATTTTTTCGATTATATCCACCTATCCACACTTCTTCTTAGTTTAAATCATGCATGGGATTTATAATTCATACCAAGTTGCTAAGAGGAGGTCGTTCACAAAGATATTCCAAAGCAAAAAATATGTTTTTTTGGCGAGTACGGTCTTCACCGTAGTATTTCTGCACTTTGACGATGTATGCGAGCGAATTGTTCGGTAGTCACGGGACGTCGTGCTGAGGCAGAGTCTCATGAAAAGTAGGGGAACTCCAGATATCCTAGTGTAAGGCCCCTAAATTTGCAAGTTTTGCAACTTTGCAAAGTCACAGGCCTGTACAGGAAATGACAGAGCAATCTATGAAACAAAAATTTAGCAAATAGCAAGCTTTGATGTTAACAAAGTCGCAAATTCACAAACTTGTAAGCACATTGGTTTCATATTTTTGGCTGAATAAGAACAAAGTAAGCATATTGCGGTGGCAAAAAGAAAGCATTCTGATATTCAAATTTAATCATGATTAGATTTGCATAGGTGTGACTGACACTGCTATAAAGAGCACAACGTCATTTACTCCAGTGGCACATACAACAAAACATGAGTTCCCGAAAATAGAGGTTTGCTTGTGAGGTGTCATTCTTTCTTGTACACGCGCGATCCAACTGACTCTTTATTACTTGTCAAAAAAAAAAATAAAATACAAACTAAATGGCAATAAAGTCAAAAAATATCTCAAACAAAAGGAACTACATGTTCTAGCTCATTGTCGAACACATTACCACGCACATCCGTTCTATCAGGATGACGTGGGATATGGTTACTATATACATCATTGGTTTTTTTACTATATGCACCAAATAAGATGTCATTACTTTCACCTGTTGTTTCGTTCGCATATTCTTTACACTTTGATTCAGGTAAAAGACTAAGATTCGTTCTATTTGAATTGAGATATTCAATCCATGGCATATTGCTTTTGAACTCCATGTAGAGAAATAGATTTTCGAGCCAAGTGCCCTTCTCCTGTATTCCTGTGGGTGGTTTTTCTCCACCATTCCGGCAAATCCTCTTATCCGGCCTAGATCCATTCTTTTCATTACTCCATTGCACCTTTCGCCAGCATTCCATCATCTGTATGTCGCATCTGCACAGTCCCATCGAACAATTCACCACGCTCGGAAACAGGCTGAAGGGGAATGGTACTGAAAAATGTAAATTGCAAGAATAGATGTGCTGCATTCAACATTATCAAACTCTGCAAATTTACCATGACAGGTTGCAGTGCATCTCTTGTGGCACCTAACTGTGTAGGGTGATAGGTATTCTTGCAAAGTGCTCCTACATTCATGTGTTTTGTTTACCAAATTTCCGTAGCAATCATCGTGAGCCTTACAGCACCTGAATAACAGAATATATAACTCCTCTCTTCAATTTTGTAAACACATACTTATCATATCCATCTTCAGCAGTCACATTGTCACCGAAATTTCCGAATCCACAATAGCATCCATGTTTAAGGAGCAGCTGTAATACAAAATAGATGTAGCAGTGCTCAGAGAATTCGAAGCATAGAAATCAATTATCTTCCAACTAGAAACTGTATTGAGGTCATCTCTCACCATAAAACTTTCTAAAACTCACAACAAAAGGGTTATAGCCGAGCACACATTCTCCAATATAGATGAAATCATACAGCGATGCGTCGGCAGCCGTTACCATACATGACAGAATGATGGCAGAAACGAAGCTCATAGTGACTGTATCAGTGCTACTTGCTGCCTGGATTGATCAAAGTATCAGATTTATTGCGTATAGCAGCGTATGGATCCCGGAGGCTTTAGAATAAAAGTAAAGCTTATAAAAAGGAAAACGTGCTCAAGCACGTTTTCCTTTTATAAGCTGTGCCATTCATTCCATTCCGTGCTTAAGCAGGGATAGGAATGGCGCACATAAAGTGTGATCTATGTGAGAGTCATTAATATAGCTAAGCAGGGAATGGTCAGAACTTAACCCAGTCACACCAAACATGTTGTACATCATCGGACACATCTTGAAACGCTGATCACAAACATATGTTTATTACTTGCCAAGCGACTATCTGGGAGTAGTTATGAGCGTTTAAATGAGCGATTTGTCAAGTGTTCTGTGGCCCAAGTTCCACGAAATAGGTTTCAAAAATACTTATTTAGGTTGTTGGTAAATGTGCTTCCTCCCTGTAATGAAAATACCATAGCCACTGATCCGCGCCATCAGACTGCATTCTTAGGAAATGTTCGTCAAAAGTCGAAAAAAATTTCATATTTGAACGCTCTAAATTCTTCCAGATAGTCGCTTGGCAGATAAAAGACATACATCTGGAATCAGCATTTTAAGGCGAGTCCGATGGTATACAGCTTGCTTGGAATGGCTGGGTTAAGTTCTGACCATTTTGTGAGCAAAAAGAAGGAACTCAGTATTTGGAAAAACAATGGGCGATTTTCGAAGCGAAGTTTGCAAACGAGATCAGATACATTCTGGTCACGATCGCATACACGAATTTTTGCTTCGAAAATCACTAAACCCATACTTTGCAATAAAAGTTCAAACATGTACAGTCCAATCAGCCCGATGGGCTATCCCTAGTGATGACAACCACAAGAGCATAAATGAGTAACGGCAGGCTCTTTAATACACCACTGGAAGCGTTCATTGCTGTGTAGTTCGAAGAGGACACTTTAAAGGCGAAACCAAATGTGGAAATGGCAATAAAAATTGGACAAGTCAGGAAATTAAACAGCACTCGAGCGTATTTAAAAAAAAAAGTATTCAATATTCGTATCCCTGCACTTAAAAGCAACTATCGTTTGCAACTTTTTCACACGACAGCGACTACTCCTTCACACTCAGCAGAACCTTTTGTTTGCACACGCGCTCGAGAAAGAAGTTTTTTGAGCTCTATATTTTTGATCCCATCATTGTTACATAAGATAATATGTTTCGCTCGCTATTCCGCTCTTACTGTATCAATCAGGTTCAGCTTTTATATTATCAATATCTTAAAACATGCCGAATACCATGTTTAAAATCCAAGAGCCGCCTTCTAGGTCATGCGCTTCTCATTTGATTTTTCAGCCAAATTTCTAATGGGGTGAACGTCTAACGTACAAGACTTTCAGTCTGAGTGTCACGGTCGGCGAGCCGCCTCGTTTGGGTCTCTCGCGGGGCGTTCGACCCCAGCGGATACGGTATTTTCCCATGTTTGAGGCGTGCGAGGTACCGTATCCTTAAACATCAATGAGGCGGCTCACGGGAACCAGAGCCGCGCTGACCGTTACACTCAGATTGATAACACCTGTAATCTGTTCCATATGATGCGTGACTTCCCAAATGCCCTTTTTGTTGTTCGCGAAAAAGCTTGGGGCTCATTTTACAGTGATTGAGCCTAAGATTGGGAAAAAGGTAAAAGGTTTTGCAGCTGAACAGACCAGATCTAATATGAAGTTGGATTTGCCTTTAGAGCAAGAAAAAAAAGGACGAAAACAGCGAAAAAAGTTCCATGATTTCATAAGGAACTGGTATCTTTTGGAAAATCTCCAGCGCTAATGCGTATTGAAAAGACTTCTTTGGAACTGCACAACTAATCCTTTTTAGGAATCTGGCTACGTTCTTGGAAAAAGGAATAGTAGTTGTACCGAGATGAGTAATGACACCCTTAAAAACTACTTTCAAAACTTTGTTGTAGAATCCAGTAAATCCCGTCATTTCCCCTCAATAAAACTTGCTGGCAGTTTTATTATCTTAGTGCATAGTAGTGCATTCGCGTGGCTATCAAGCACAGTAAAGCAAGCTGCTGATTTAGTAGCGTCATTTTGCTCTAACTCTGTACATCTGGAAGCTGCTGACTGCCATATGTTCAAAACGACGTCGACAAGCGCAGAAACTAGGACAATCAAAATGCTTTTCGACTGCCTAAGCTTACCATATCGCTAGCGTCATACTAGGAAGTCAACTAGCTTCCAACTTGGTGCATATGTTCAGTGCCATAAAGCGATCATTGGAAAAAAAATCAAGGCGTTACAATACAGGTTGAAGTTCCCCCTCTCTGCTTAATGAGAAACAGCAGTATTTTGACTTTCTTGAAAAAATCACACGAATGATTTATTAGGTTGTCCGGAAATTAATGCAGATTTTGAATTCCACCCGCGATAAGTCATACACTTCTCATTTCTAAGTAGGTTGCAAGGTACCGTTCGATAGAGCAAAGCAAGCTCTACAAGATGGCAGTCATGATTTAGCAACAGCTCCAATCCACCACGAGTTTCGAGCCAAAAACTAAAAAGATTTAACTACCCAAAAAAATGAGAAAAATCGTAACTCAGTTCATAAAAATCCTATAAAAATTCTAATTCGCTCACGTAAACACTGTCCACATAAGACGTATATGTACGCCGTTGCCGTATTTTTTCCTCGGTTACAAACCAAAAAAACGAAGATTTTCATGTTTCTGCCAAAGTGATCCTGTGCCGTTCCCACATGAGTAGTTGTATACTAGGAATCTGTAAAAGTACAAACGTAAATTTCCAGCTCTCTACAAGCTTTAGTTCTCGAGAAATTCGAATTTTAGCCTGAACCACATGACTAGGAAAACTGTATTCGATATTTCTCGAGAACTAAAGCTTGTAGAGAGCTGACAATTTACATTTGTACTTCTACAGGTTTGTAGTACTTCTACAGGTTTGTACAACTACTCATGTGGGAACGGCACAGGATCACTTTGGCAGAAACATGAAAATCTTCGTTTTTTTGGTTTGTAACCGAGGAAAAAATACGGCAACGGCGTACATATACGTCTTATGTGGACAGTGTTTACGTGAGCGAGTTAGAATTTTTATAGGATTTTTATGAAATGAATTACGATTTTTCTCAATTTTCTGGGTAGTTAAATCTTTTTTAGTTTTTGGCTCGAAATTCGTGGTGGATTGGAGCTGTTGCTAAATCATGACTGCCATCTTGTAGAGCTTGCTTTGCTCTATCGAACGGTACCTTGCAACCTACTTAGAAATGAGAAGTGTATGACTTATTGCGGTTGGAATTCAAAACCTGCATTAATTTCCGGACAACCTAATAGATCGGATAATTCGTGGTACACCTTCTTCTATTCCTCCTAGAAAATTCCAGAGGTTTCCTGAAACCCCCAAAATTGCTACACGGACACAGCAATCTACCCACCAGCTTCACTGAGGCCGAAAATGCACATAGACCTTCAAGTTTACTGCAGTTTTGTGAATACACTTGAATTTCCAATCTTTCTTGATTTCTTCTCTGCACTTACTTGTGCTTTCCTCTCTTATAATTGTTTTAAAATGAATTTTGGCACTGTCTCTTACATGTAGGCCGAAAATGCACATAGACCTTCAAGTTTACGACAGTTTTGTGAATACACTTGAATTTCCATCTTTCCTGATTTCTTCTCTGCACTTACTTGTGCTTTTCCTCTCTTATAATTGTTTTAAAATGTATTTTGGCACTGTCTCTTACATGGAGGCAGCTTTTCAGAAACGAGAGATGAAAAAGTTACCAAAAAAATTGGAAACTTTTCTGAATCATTCTTTTGTGTGCATCGTGCAGAAATGATTACAGAAAGCTTGAGAATAGTTTTGGATTTTTTGGAAAGGTTTTCTATGTTCTATGTTGAAACGTCGAAATTGCAACGATGGCGCACATTATGGCCCGTAGTAAACTACCGTCAGGGCATCTCCTCTGAGGCGGACCGGAGCTGATATCTTGGCGGCTCAGTCCAGCATCCGGCGAGCTATTGATCTGGATGCAGATCGCTTCCTGGACATTATAATCAAGTACGTTCTCGAAAAGACAGCTACTTGGTTCGATTTGGTTAAATGGGTAAGCCATTGGAATTACACGAGCGCGGCCGTGATTCGAGTCCGTCTAGCGACACAACTTTTGCTGCATCGCCGGGCAATCTTTGATAGCGGCCACTATCCAATCGATGATGACCGCTATCAAGGATTTCGCCTAGCAAACACAAAGATAAAACAAAAAACATTTCGTTACGAAAATTTTGCGACAAAACGAAATGGTTGCAACGTGAATTCAATGAAATGAACAAATGAGTCCTCGTTTTGAACAGCTTCAAAAAAAACCAGTAAAGTTTACAAAAAAGAGAAGAATTTGTTTTTTTCTGTCTTCCTCGCCAAAATCAGCTGTTCATCGATCCTCTCCTTTTCGGGCGCGGTTGTGCAATTTTGCGCCGATTTTGTCTGCAGTGTTAGGCAAATTGCTGTGTATCGTAAGTTACTCAGGAGCAACTTACGAAGATTTTCTCTGCGTTTCCTCTTTAGCACACTATTTCTGGACATCATCGCTCATATCATCTCCCATGACCCGGCAGGGAAATCATCTCCCTGCCGAACTTCACCTGAGGCTCACCTCTCAGGTGACGTTGCATCCCTATAGCCTGGGGAAATGGGCGGTCGTCATTTTACTGACAGAACCTCACATGAAGGTCTTAGGGGAGATAGTCTCCCATGACCGAGCTTTACTGCGGGCCATGTCTCTTCCCCCCCCCCCCTATTGCGCTAAACGCTAAAGGCTATGGCCCTGTCCAACAATCACTTTCCCTTGCTCATCAACTGGAAGAATGCCAACTCATTTGTTTTGCGCACAGCTGCGGATCCGATACCGATTAGTAGACCTTTTGATCCTGCTCAAATACCCGAAAGAGGTCTTTCGAAAGCCTCTGAGATTTTTGAGAA